CTAATACTTAAATTTTCTAATAGTATTTTATATTTATACCTATTTACCTTTTAATATCTTTAGAGATTATCTTATATTATTATTAATTAATTACCCTATCCTTTATATACTTAGAATTTAAGAATATACTTACTTTATAAATCTTTAAATAGACTTAGTAGTATATTTTTTAACTATAGTCTATCTATACTATTAGTTATATTTATAGTAAAGGAGCTAGAGGTATATATACTTACTTACTTAGTATTATATAAGGTCCTACTTTCTATACTCTTTAGTATAGTATAAATATTTTACTTTTTATTACCCTTTAACTAAGTTAATTATAGATAATATAGGACTTATTTTCTCCTATATTTAGGGTTTAATAATAGTATTATTAATATTTCTTAAATAATCTATAGTTTCTATATTTATATAAGGAAGTAGGTCTTATAAGTAATAGAGGAGAGGGAGGATTAAAGTCTATATTACTAGAAATATTAGGAAGTATTAATTAAGTATACTAAATCCTTACTAATTATTAAAGGATTATACTTAATTTAGTCTTTAACTAGTTAGAATAATTCTTTTAACCTAGTATAAAGTATACTTAATATTATTAAAGATATTTAATAAGGTCTTCCCTTAATAAAAACTTTAGGTTATAGGAGGGGTATTAAATTATATATTACTCTATATTACTATTTATCTAGTAAGAGTTCTTATAGTTATAGGGAGGGAGGTAATTACTTCTTTTCTAGAATTAAGGTTAGAGCTAATAGGAGAATAAACTAATAATATAAGCTATATATAATAACTAACTTAATAGTTATAGGGTTAAATTACTATAGTAATATAAGAAATAATATTAATAATCCTTAATAAGAAAGTACTTACCTTAATCTAGATAAGGGTAAGGACTAATTAATACTTTATAGTAAGTAATAGCTTAAGTTATATAATATATTAGCTATTAATAAAATAAATTTATAAAGAAGTATAAGGGTTAACTATATAATATAGACTATACTTATTAGTTAGCTACTAGTACCTACCTAAACTACCTAATTAGTTAGTATAAAGGCTTATTACTAATTACTATTTTAGGTTATTATAGAACCTACTCTTTATAACTAAATACTTACTTCCTATTTACCTTATATTAAATCTATAAATTTATCTTCTAAATCCTATATACTTACCTTATTTAAACTTATTTTCCTCTTAAAATTCTAATCTATTATTATAAAAAGCTAGTTTTTAACTTTAGTATAATTAATATTATTAAGGATACCCTTATTACTAAGTATTCTTAAGTTATTATATTTATAGAAGTACTTAATAATTAAACTACTAAAGCCTTACTCTACCTAAGTTAAATACTAATAGAATATTAACTTTATAGCTAATTCTAAAATAAGATAATTAATTAGATTTTTATTATCTTAATAGTTAATATTAAGCTTAGTAGTTTAAACTAAATAATTTTCTATTCTATTATATTTATAGAAGCTAGTATTTATACTTAAACCTAATAGTTAAGTCTAGTAAGTATATTCCTAATAATATAAATAATAAATATAATTATAAATCTCTAACTCTATATCTTCTACCTTTATTCTATTAAATAGAAGCTAACTATAGAGTAGTATAAATAGAAAAGTAAAAGCTTTATACTCTAAATAATAATTATAGTATAGATATTAAATATTAGCCTTAGAGATAGTCCTATTATAGTAAGGATTTATATAATAATTATCTAAAAAGGACTAAGGAATATAAGTTTATATTACTATATTAATATTTAATAGAGTAAAGGGAAAATTAAATATTTTAGTAAGGTATAGAAGTATATAGTTAGTTATAGAGTTAGAACTATAGAGAGTAATATTAACCTATAATAATATAACTCTAGTAAATAAAAAGACTTTTATAAGGAGTTTTAGGTTATTATTAAATAGGATAGGCTTAAGGATAGTAATAATTAGACCTAGTTAGGCTCTAGTAAAGTTATATATAATCTATAGTTCCTAGAATATACTCTATAAAGTAGGACTAATAGCTTAATTACTAAAGCTAAGTATTATATAATAGCTAATTAAGTAAAACTCTAGTAGTAAAAACTTTTATTTCTTTAGAGTTTTAATTATAAAGTTTATAACTAAGATAGGAAGCTCTATTTATACTAAACCCTATAGCTTTTATATAGTATAAAGTAGTAAACTTATAGTAATAGCTAGCCTTACTAATAACTAATTACCTAAGTTAAATATAAAATAAAGTCTACTTAAATATAATATAGCTTAGTTTACTATTAGTAGTTAACTATATTAGTTAACTTAACTAACTACCTTAAGATTAAGATCTTTAATAAATAATTCCTAAGGGGATCCTCTACCTACTATCTTTTAATTAGTACCTTATAAAGTTAGTAATTTCTACTATATTCACTTATAGTAAATAGTATATTTAAGCTAAAGCTATATAGTATAAGGACTAGGAAAATCTAATAAGGCTTAATATTATAAAGTTAGGCCTTATTATTTAGTAAGGCTTATATTTAAAATATATACTTACTTAAGGGTTATTAATATAAGACTATTATTTTAGTTATTCTCCTATTATTAGAAGTTTCTTAACTAAGATACTTTATAAATAACTAGATAGTAATTAGTAAGCTATATACTTTAAGGGTATTCTTATTTAATAATAAGGGTATATTTATTAGTATTTCTCTAGGTAGAATAGCCTTAAATAGTACTAGATTCTTTAAGTATATAATCTAAAAAAGATAGAATTCTAGAAAGAAGTCTTTAAAGATTTAAGGCTAATACTTAATAGTATAAAGCTATTTCTATATTAGAGAGTATAGCTTACTAGTAGTTAAGACTTTATTACTAAATAGATTTAGCTTTTAGGCTATTATAGGATAGCTTAATAGAAGCTATAGTAAGTAGAGGATTAAGACTAGATATTTTTATAAGGTTATATCTATATATTCTAGTAGAAGAGCTTAAGTATAGAGGTAGTGTTTTTAAGTATACCCTAGCTCTATTATATAATTTTAGTACTAAGTATACTTTAATCTTATTAAAAAGGAATTAATAATAATTATATAAGTATTTTTAAAGTTTACTTCTAAATATAATAAGAATATTAAGTAATTTATTATAAAGGTGAAATATATAGGCTATAAATTAGAAGGTATAATAAAAAGTATAAGGTATAAGGTATAAGATATAATAAAAGGTATAAGATATAAATTATAAAGTATAAATAGTAAGGTGTAAGGTATAAGGTATAATCTTTTAGCTTTAAATATTATTTTAAGAGGGGTAAGTTATATAAAAATAGATAAGAAGAACTCTTTTATCTTTATAGTATAAATATATTCTATTTATTATTTTATATATATCTTTAATAAAATATCTATAGAATCTAGAATTAGTATAGCTTACTAATTAATATTTAGATAGAATATTATTAAATTCTAGTTAAGAAGGCTCCTATTTTAGATATAGGTATACTAATAATAACTACTACTTTAGCTAGTACTTAAGCTATAAAGGTAAGAAGAAATATAAGAATAAGTAGATATATTACATTATAGCTACTTATAACCTAACTTAACTTTAAGATACTAGCTATATAGTCTAGTATATTAACTACTATAGATACCTAGAATACCTAGGTGCTCTACTTAGTAATTTTTAGGGTATATAACTTAAGGACTAACCTTCTATCCTAATAGTAGATAAAGTAAGTCTCCCTTAGCTAGGTAAGGAGACTATTATTCTTAATTTAATTAAGGATACTATTATTAGTTTAGTATATTAACATATATAGGGAGAGCTATTAGGTAGTTACTATTAGTGAATATTTTCTAACTTAATTAATCTACTATATTAGGATTAAGAGAGGTTTATATAAGAAATAATAAATATTATAGGTTTTATTAAAACACTTTCTAATACTTATATTAATAAATCTTAGATTATATAAATTCTATATATATTTAGTATAGAATTATATTTTACTTATAATATATATACTATAAAAAGTAGATAAGTTACTTATATTAGTTTAGATAGTTAAAAATATAAGGTTAAAGCTAATATATAGATTAAAGTGATAGTTAACTATAAGGGAAAATATATTAAATACTAATTATATATAGAGGAAGAGTTAAGGTTATAGGTCTATACCTACTCTTTTAAGGAAGCTAAAGGTAGCTTATTAAGTTAAAGGCACTAGAGGCGTAAGAACTAAGACCGAATTCTATTATAAAAAATTAAATAGGCAAATAAGACCCCTTAGCTAGGCTAGCTTTAATAATTAGGCTAAGTAGTATTTAAGGTAGTAATTTTAATATATTAATACCTAAGGATAATACTATTACTATAAATTAGCTATTTATCTTATTTCTTAAAGCTAAAGAATATACTACTAATTAATAAATATTTTATATTTTTATTTAGTTTTACTATAATTACTATTTCTCTATCTTCTATTCTTATAGAACTAAGGGGCTATTTCACTATAATATAGAGGAAGCTAGTATAACTATATTATTAAGCTATAATTAAGATTATATTAGTAGGAATAAGTAGTATTTATATAGAAGTAATATTAGCCTTACTTACCCTATACCTATATATATCTTATTAATACTAAAAGTATAATATCTAATTATAGAGTATAGAATAGTAGGGATAAAAGATTTATTAGAAACTACTTTACTTTATTAATTTAAACCCTAAAAAAACACTTTCTTTTATAGATAGATTTCCTCCGGTTAGATATATATATATATAGTTATTTTAAAGCTCTAGATCACTTTTCCTATTAAACCAAAGCGCCCCTGTTATCCCTTTTCCGTTGAGGCTGGAAGGTGTTGGCCGGGCTTCGCTGAGTTCGGTGCGACCTCTTCGCTACTTGAGTTTGGGACTTGTTGTCGCTATGTGAGCCCGGTGTATGGCCGCCGACACACGACTCCCAGCTGAACTCCAGTTGAAAGGTCACTTTACCGTCCACGGCCAAGCGTTTGAGCGTGGCCAGCAGCCCATGCTAATGCTGTCCTGCCATAGTTGTCCATGTAGATCTACCTGTATCTCCTTTGCTAGGACAGCCACCACTTCTTCACGTCCGTTACTTGCCGCTGCTAGGAACGGGGAACTTCCGGAATCGTCTGAACGGTTGATGTCGATTGCTGGAACTGCTAGAAGGCACTCGACAGTCGAAACGCGTCCCTGTGCCGCCGCAATCCACAATGGAGTTCGACCCGATTGGTTGGGGTTCGGCTCTATGCCTGGCGTATCGAGCAATAATCGCGTTGTCAAAGTCTGTCCTCTAGATGCTGCGCCGTATAGCGGAGTTTGGTCTCGGTGATTCTGTCTAGTCGGATTGACGCGGTTTGTAGCGAGAAGCCGCCTCAGTATAGGCGCTTGACCACATCTCGCTGCCCAAAGGAGTGCTGTCTCGCCCTCTTCATCACGTTGGTCGGGATCTTCTCTAGGGTCGGAGAGGAGCAGTTCCACGATAGCGTCATGTCCATGCCTTGTTGCTAAGGAGAGCGGTGTCCAGCCCCATGCAAGGCCTTGGCGTTTGAACGTACCACTCGGGCTGGTAGACGAGAAATAAATGGCGGCATGTGAAATCAATGCGCACAGAGATTCGGCCAGAAGATAGCGGCCGATCAAGGCCAGAATCTCGTTGGGGAGATCAGGGAGTAACATAATCCCATGTAGCTGGAAAAGCACAAATAACAATTAAAAAACAACAAGCCACAAGGGTGGCCTTAGTGGGTCTAACGAGCACGAGTAATTCCGGCATGTTTCACACCAATTAAGCATGGGTTACTGTCTGGAATTCAGCTATGTGATTGGAGAACGCGGGACGGGGTAAAGTATGACTAATCGACTGCCTGCGAGGAATGTGATCGATGACGGCCGTTCCGAAATGATCAGTTTAGAATTTATATGTACACATTTCAGACAAGACCATATTAAATCAAAGCGTTTTAGATCTTTCATATCGTCATTTTATTCAGATCGGTGCCAGCAGTTGGTTTCGGTATCCGAGGCCAACCCTTCACTTGGCATGTAGAAATATGGAAGATTACTGCTGAGGGCTCTCGACTTCGCGGAATTCCCAGAGATCTTCAAGCCCTTCGAACTTGAGTAATAGCAAGTTCCCATCCTTATCAGACTTTAACTATTACAATACTGTTTACGATCTTTGCATACCATTCGTGTTACCATGAAAAACTAGCAAGCAATATCCTCCCTTCAGTTACTGCGAGACAACAATGTACTCTGTCTCCCCATGTTTGAGAGCTTTTGCAACGCAATCGTCCTTATAGTGCCCAAGATATCGCCCTATAATAAATTCACGGAATCCATACTAACCCTTCATACTCTCACAATACTATCGAAACCCTCCCCAAGAGTGGAGCTTTTCCTGCAACACAACTTTCCATCTATGATAGACAGATATTTGCCTCAGTATCAGGTGCAAATGATAAACTAAGAGCCAGGAGTAGGCACACAATCAAAAGGCAAAGCATAGCCCAGATTCTAAGAATCATCAATTAAAGAGATAGAAGTAGGAGTATAGTATGCGACGGATATTATTGGCGACATCGCTCCGTCGCTCTCAATTATATCATTCATACTTGGTGATGCTCTTAATCTCGTCTAACCTTGTCAAGTGAATAGTATTATAGTACAACTCTACAGCAGGGAAATAGGCGTGGACGGCTGTCAGCGCGAAACAGGTAAAGAGTCTGGTTCTCTTTATTGCTCTTACTTATTATTATAGTTAGGACTGGTACCGAGCGTTGTCCCACCAATATTATAAGCCTTTTCAAAGCCAAGTTAAGTTATAATTAGCAGCAGCCTTAGAGTTACGCTGATGATATACTATATAATATATATAATCCAACAAAACTTGTCATATTCATAACGTCTTATTTACCATGAAGCTAAAGCTCGGCCGGCGCGGGATTATTTCGAACAGATATACTATGCCAAGGTGTAGGTGTATAGCGCGCTATAAAAGGTAACATATCGTACGAATACTCTACCGTGGTAACCGATAGATGAGCTAGTAGCTGAGGAGAAACTTAATAAAATACTTTCTGTATTTTTATTTTGGTCTTCTTGAGGAAGAGCTTTGTCCTGCAATGTTGGCGGCAACGACGAACTTGCACGCTCTTTTGCTTCCTCGCGTCGGCGTTGCTCTTCATGTCGTTTGCTTGCCTCGAGAGCGTGTCATTCAGCAGCCTTGACTGTGCATGCCTGAAAGACGAGCCACAGGGTTGGCTGTAGTGGGTCTAACGAGTTTTACATTTGATCGTATGTCCTCGGGTTTGGTCTCATGTCCTCGGGTTTGGTCTCATGCCCTCGGGTTTGGTCTCATGTCCTCGGGTTTGGTCTCATGTCCTCGGGTTTGGTCTCATGTCCTCGGGTTTGATCGCATGTCCTCGCATCTGATCGCATGTCTAATTAATCAAGGGATTTTTTTTTTTGAAGCCCTATGTGATGGGAGGGCGTAAGGTTCAAACATGACCAATTGACTACCATTGCCTTCCGTAACGACAGCAGGTTGACGCGCATCTGTTCCAAAATAAGGCCTGGCTGGCTAGCTTTGTGAGCCCTCAATCGGCTCTCTACATCTCGTGCTACACAACAGGTGCCAGGACTTTCAGGCTTGGCCCAAAGTGATTGAGGACAACCCCATAGGAAATGGCACTGATGCCTTCTGTACTTTGTTTGATTCAATCTGTGAAGGAAGCGACTTCGGCTGTATTAAACCACTACTATGGTCTGCCCTTGTCGGTGAATGCGGCGATGCCGTCACCGAATCTATTCTACCTCCACAGCTGGTATCCTCCATACAATGAACCCCATGGTTACTCGCGTGCCACTGACCAAAGACGAAAGAGAAATAAAAGAAAGATACGATCAATATGCCCCCCGGCTCATGGGACACTGACATATGATCACGTGAGTTCGTGACATAGTCCTACTGGAGGTGTTGGTACATTGTGTCGTTCCTGGTTTTGGGGGCTGGCCTATTACTAAATAAAGTCCACCCTGCAACCGGCGACAAATGATGCAATCTCGTCACTTGCATCGAGAACCTGCCTCTTCCATTCGTCCCACTAATCATCACCGGTTTTCTCTTCTCTCGTCGAAAACAGTCATGCTCATAGAGGTGCCAAAGGAATGAGGTGATGTTGAGAATTGACGGAGTGTAGTTGGCCGCTATGTGTGAAAAGTGTAACACGACGCGTGAGGCAGATTTGCCTATGGCAAAGCAAGACGCGAACGAGGGGAGGCCGACCTAAAGGGGAAATTGTATCAAATCCCTATCGGTCGATCGTTCCACAGATGTGGGGTGTATTACTCATTCCAACCGCGCCTCTTGGTCGAATGTCCGGTATTTATCCGAGACATGGAGATGCACATTGTCTAATCGATTGACAGTCTGCCAACTTCATCATCCTCATCGCAACGATACTCCCATTGTACCCAATGTCTAACCCAGAGATTGTACAACTTTGACGCGAGAACGAAGAGCTCAAACACGAGAAGGAGGCAGCGGAGGCACGAGAGGAAAAGGAGCGGCGCGAGAGGAAAAGGAGCGGCGCGAGAAAGAGGAGCTCGTACGCGAAAACCAGCCGACTACACTGGATGAATATCTACGCCACTGCCGTACCTACCTTTACCAGAACAGCAGGCCAGTCCCTGCTGCTACTTCACTTTGACCGAGCCGATCCACAGACGCTTTATGGATGAAGATGTAGGCGAGACGTCGGTCTCGAACTGGGCCGACAAGATGATCTGTTAGGTGGAGCCTATATGAAGTTCATCTGGGCGTGCAAGCTTCACTCCCCCTCAGAAGGCCCTGGCCCCAGCCAGCATGAGACGGTTGAGTTTGTTGGTTGAACTCCAAGAACAAGGGTGGCACCTTTCCTGGACTCCTGGGCAATTTCTGAACTTAAGTTCGCATTACTAATGCTTGTATCATTTTTGCTGAAGTTAAATACAGGCTAAAACACGGCCTTCATTCACTTTTTAAATCATTACTTACACAGTTTACACAATGGCTAAGCTCCCAATCTCACTCCGAAAATGTGATAGAATAAATGAGAATATCGTAAAGGCTATTAAAGGTCTTATATAAAGAGGTGATAAAATAAGTAATCGCTTTAATGCTGATGTCTATATTATAGTGCAACAGAATAACCAACATTAGGACTATAACTATTCTAGTAGCTTATTATTTCCCCCTCCTCTCATAGAAATTGTGAGCGATCTTAATCTAGGTCTACTTAGCACTTAGTAAGCTAACTTTATTATACATAGGAATAAGCCTATCCACTAGCTGTGAGGAGATCTCCAGCAAGCTTCTAGCATGCCTAGAATGCTATCCCCTTATTATCTACTTCTAACCCAACCACTAATCAGACAAGCTCGGGGAATAGGATTAGCTAAGACTAGGTAGAATTAAATTTTCTCAAAAAGGGATCGCTGCACTACATATCAAGATCACGTGTCTGAAAGATTACTCATCAGGGACTGGAATAACCGGGGATAAACGGAACTTCTTTATTCCTCTACTCGTGCCGTGAGTTTACGAGCCTGCCAAAAAGGTGGGGCGGGCACGAGTAGTCAAGCTAGAAAGAGTATGCAACAGCAGAGAGGCGGGGGCGCATTTGCGAACTCTTAAGTTCGCATTTCCAGTAAGTGCAAATTTAGGTGCTATGGTACAGTACAACCCCCTCCACAAATACAGCACAACTTGCCATCTTTCAATCACGACCCTTTCTCAAAGCTAGATTGTACACGGACATAGTCTGCGACGCTTGATGATTAAGAATGAAGCCACCACACCATGCACAGCAGGGTTTTTTTTTGGGGGGGGGGGGGGGGGGTTTGGCCAATAGCTTGCTTCGTTCGACGGAGCCCATGCTGATGATGGCCGTGGCACCTTGGCCAATCACTATCACGCAATCGCTGCAAACAACCGGTGAGGCGTTCAAGCTCTCGCCCTGGACCCCGCAGAGCTAGATCTCGGGCATAAGAGATAGGAGATATGGCTACAAGACTCCACCACCACCCATCTATCTCACTACAGTCTACTTATCAAGTGGTTGCATATTCCCCGACACTCTGAATTTCCCTCCCGATATCGAACATCAAATATGTCGGACCCGCGGGCTTACACCATCGGCTGGATCTGTGCGCTCACCACCGAGTCGGTCGCCGCCCGAGCCTTCCTCGACGAAGAGCACGACCCACCGAACCACGTTTCCCAGCACGACAACAACAGCTACGTCCTCGGCAAGATCGGCTATCATCACGTCGTTATTGCTGTCCTGCCAGATGGGGAGTATGGCACAACTTCCGCGGCGGCAGTAGCACGGGATATGCTTCACAGCTTTCCGAATGTGCGCATCGGGCTGATGGTGGGCATCGGGGGCGGCGTGCCTAGCTTGACGCAGGACATACGGCTCGGTGATGTGGTGGTCAGTAGTCGCGATGGCGGCAAGGGTGGTGTGTTCCAATACGACTTTGGCAAGACAATTCAGAACCAAGCGTTTAAAGAAACGGGGTTCTTGGACCAGCCCCCGATGGTGCTACGAACAGCCGTCAGCACTCTCAAAGGTACATACGAGTTGAGGGGCCACCAGCTTGTGGACAAGGTAGATAAGGCCTTGGAAGGCATCAAGAAACGAAAGAAGTACAGGCGGCTTGCTCCAACAACTGACAGATTGTATAATTCCGATGTTGTTCACCCAGCGACAACTAGCGGTTGCGATATCGTGTGCGATACAACATACCTCGTGCATCGTGCCGCAAGGGATGAAGAAGACGACGACCCCGCCATCCACTACGGTCTGATTGCCAGCGGAAACCAACTGATGAAGGATGCTCATATCCGGGACATGTTAGCCGCCGAGAAAGGCATCCTCTGCTTCGAGATGGAGGCAGCCGGCCTGATGAACCACTTCCCATGTCTCGTGATCCGTGGGATCTGCGACTACTCGGACTCGCATAAGAACAAAGAGTGGCAAGGATTTGCAGCTATGATGGCAGCAGCGTATGCGAAGGACCTTCTGCAGCAGATCCCACCTAATAAGGTCGATGCAGAGATGCCACTTGCCAAGGCTCTTAGTGATAGTTAGTAAATAGCTCTATTTTTTACAGGATTTTCTATTTCTAATGTTCGGTAGTTGACTATAAACTTGGTGCTGTCCGCGAGACCGTAGTTGCAACAAAAGCCGCAGCTGAGTCTATTCAATCTGGCCTTCATACTGAGGAGATGAGACGTTGGCTTCATCCCCCAGATCCATCTACAAACCTTATTTACGCAAGGAAGCTCCGCCATGAAGGCACAGGCGCATGGCTCCTGAAAGCCCCGATATTCCAATCGTGGGAAGGAGGATCGCACCGACATCTGTGGCTGCATGGGCTTGCCGGGTGTGGCAAGACGGTTCTGAGTGCGACGGTTCTAGACCATCTAATGGAGGAAAACTACGGCCTTATCCTCAGTTTCTTCTTTGACTTTAATGACACAACAAAGCAGACTTTGGATGGTATGCTGCGGTCACTTGCGTCACAGCTGTATCGGGGCCGGGCTGGTTCCGCGGGCCCTCTTGACACGTTATTCCAAGCACACGGAAAGGGCCACAACCAACCTACCACGAAGGCGCTCGAGGATATTGTTTGTGAGATGCTTATGGCTCAGAAGGTCGCATGCATCGTACTAGACGCCTTGGATGAGTCGACGACAAGGGATGAACTCCTGTCCTGGATCAGAAACATGGCGTCTAGGCCTGAGTTGGGGCACGTTCACATGCTTTACACCAGTCGGCCTGAGTCGGAGTTCCTACACGAAATTCCCACTTTGATAGAGAAGGAACACTGCGTATCACTCGATAAGCAGGCCGTCAATGCCGACATTCGGTCCTATGTCACAGCACAACTTTTGCAACGACGTGATTTCCGGGACAAACACTTGCCACAAGATCTTCTAGAACAGATCCGAACGAGGATTGGGGACGGATCGGACGGGATGTAAGCCGTATTGCCTTCTATACTATAAGCACACCTGTGGTTACTGATCCCATAGTTAGGTTTAGATGGGCGTTCTGTCAGTTAGACAGTCTCGCTAGATGTTATCACCAAGCAGCCATTAAAAAGACTTTAGTATCCTTGCCACGGAATCTGAACGAGACATACCGGCGCATGATCGAAAGCATACCAATAGAACTAAAGAGCGATGTAATCCGCCTCATGTAGGTTCTTGTGCACTCTAAATGGCCACTTAAGCTAGCCGAGGCCAAAGAGGTAATTGCAACGCAGATAGAAGGCGACTCGCAAGGGTTTGATGTCAATCGTCGTCTGTATTCCGACGAAAACGTTCTTGCCTACTGTCCCGGGTTGGTGACGGTCATCGGTGCTTGGGATAAGGAACTACATCTTGCCTATTTTTCCGTTAAAGAGTACCTTCTCGGAGAGAGTCAGTTCAAGATTACGACCGCCAGCATTCCAATCGTGAGGATGTGCTTGACTTATCTTATGGATATTAGCGGTTGTAGCTATAGAAAAATGAAGCGGGGTTTTCTAATGGGAAAATATGCGGCGGAAGTCTGGACAGGCTACGCCGTGTTAGCCCAGTCTTCAGAGGACGTAGTTTGAGCGATAGTTGGGTTCCTAGAAAACGAAGCGACGTTCTAATTATAGGCTCATTTATATTAGCCTGATAGAGATTGGGATAATCACCTAGGCCCTCCACGGGGTTCCAGGCTCTACTATACTTACTTTGATGGGCTTATAGCGGCTATATAGATTCTTATCAGCAATAGAGCAGACGTTAATATATAGGGCAGCGAATATAGTAATACTCTCTAGACTGCCTTATATAAGGGCTATTATAAGATTATTAAACTTCTCTTAGATATAGGAGTAGCTATTAATATATAAAGTAGTAAATATAGTAATACTCCCTAAGCTATCTTATATAGGGGCTATTATAAGATTATTAAACTTCTCTTAAATATAAAAGTAGATATTAATATATAGGGTAGTAAATCTAATAATACTCTCTAGGCTACCTTATATAAAAGCTATTATAAGATTATTAAACTTCTCTTAAATATAGGAGTAAATATTAATATATATAGTAGTAAATATAGTAATACTCTTTAAGCTACCTTATATTAAGGTTATTATAAAATTATTAAACTTCTCTTAAATATAAAAGTAAATATTAATATATAGGATAATAAATATAGTAATACTTTTTAGATTACCTTAAAGGGAGATTATAATAAAATTATTTAACTTCTCCTAGATATAGGAGCTAATATTAATATATAGGGTAATAAATATAGTAATACTCTCTAGATTACCTTAGAGGGAGGCTATAATAAGATTATTTAAGTTCTCCTAGATATAAGAGCTAATATTAATATATAGAATAGTAAATATAATAATACTCTTTAGGCTACCTTTAAGGGAGGCTATTATAAAATTATTAAACTTCTCTTAAATATAAGAGTAAATATTAATATATAGGGTAGTAAATATAATAATACTCTTTAAGCTATTTTATTTAGAGGTTATTATAAGATTATCTAACTTCTCCTAAATATAGAAGTAAATATTAATATATAGGGTAGTAAATATAGTAATACTCTCTAAATTACTTTATATAGAGGCTATTATAAGATTATCTAATTTCTCTTAAATATAAGAGTTAACCTTAATATATAGGGTAGTAAATACTATAATACTCTTTAAGCTATATTATTTAAAGACTATTATAAGATTATTAAACTTCTCTTAGATATAGGAGCTAATATTAATATATAAAGTAGTAAATATAATAATACTCTCTAAATTACTTTATATAAAGGCTATTATAAGATTATTAAACTTCTCTTAAATATAGAAGTAAATATTAATATATAGGATAATAAATATAATAATACTCTTTAAGCTATTTTTAAGAGGGGCTATTATAAAATTATCTAACTTCTCTTAAATATAAGAGTAGATATTAATATATAAGGTATATATAGTAACTCCCTCTAGTATACCTTATTTAGAGGCTATTATAAGATTATCTAACTTCTCTTAAATATAGGAGTAAATATTAATATAAAGAGCTATATATATAGTAATACTCTCTTAATCACCTTAGAAGAAAGCTATTATAAAATTATTAAACTTCTCTTAAATAAGGGAGTAAATATTAATATATAGGATAATAAATATAGTAATACTCTTTAGATTACTTTAGAGGGAGGCTATAATAAGATTATTAAACTTCTCTTAAATAGAGGAGTAAATATTAATATATATAATAGTAAATTTAGTAATACTCTCTAGACTACTTTATATTAAGGCTATTATAAAATTATTAAACTTCTCTTAAATATAGGAGTAAATATTAATATATAGGGTAGTAAATATAATAGTACTCTCTAGATTACCTTAAAGGGAGGCTATAATAAGATTATCTAACTTCTTCTAAATATAGGAGCTAATATTAATATATAAAGTAGTAAATATAGTAATACTCTCTAGATTACCTTAGAGGGAGGCTATAATAAGATTATTTAAGTTCTCCTAAATATAAAAGCTAATATTAATATATAGAGTAGTAAATATAATAATACTCTCTAAATTACCTTATATTAAGGCTATTATAAAATTATTAAACTTTTTTTAAATATAGGAGTAAATATTAATATATAAAGTAGTAAATATAGTAATACTCTTTAAGCTACCTTAAAGAGAGGCTATTATAAGATTATCTAACTTCTCTTAAATATAAAAGTAGATATTAATATATAAAGTAGTAAATATAATAATACTCTTTAGGCTATTTTATTTAAGGACTATTATAAAATTATTAAACTTCTCTTAAATAAGGGAGTAAATATTAATATATAGAGTAGTAAATATAATAGTACTCTTTAAGCTATCTTAGAGGGAGGCTATTATAAGATTATCTAACTTCTCTTAAATATAAAAGTAAATATTAATATATATAGTAATAAATATAATAATACTCTTTAAGCTATATTACTTAGTAGCTATTATAAGATTATTAAACTTCTCTTAAATATAAGAGTAAATATTAATCTATAGGGTAGTAAATATAGTAAAGCTCTCTAAATTACCTTAAATAGGGGTTATTATAAGATTATTAAACTTCTCTTAAATAAGGGAGTAAATATTAATATATATAGTAGTAAATATAATAATACTCTTTAGGCTATATTACTTAATAGCTATTATAAGATTATTAAACTTCTCTTAAATATAAGAGTAAATATTAATATATAGGGTAGTAAATATAATAATACTCTTTAAATTACCTTTAAGGGAGATTATTATAAAATTATTAAACTTCTTTTAAATAAGAGAGTAAATATTAATATATAGAGTAATAAATATAGTAATACTCTTTAGATTACCTCTAATAGGGGCTATTATAAGATTATCTAACTTCTCCTAGATATAGAAGTAGATATTAATATATAGGGTAGTAAATATAATAATACTCTTTAAATTACCTTATATAAGAGCTATTATAAAATTATTAAACTTCTCTTAAATATAGGAGTAGATATTAATATATAAGGTAGTAAATATAATAATACTCTTTAAGCTATATTACTTAATAGTTATTATAAAATTATTAAACTTCTCTTAAATAGGGGAGTAAATATTAATATATATAGTAATAAATATAGTAATACTCCCTATACTACCTTATATAGGGGCTATTATAAGATTATTAAACTTCTCTTAAATATAAGAGTAAATATTAATATATAAGGTAGTAAATTTAGTAATACTCTCTAAATCACTTTATATAATAACTATTATAAGATTATTAAACTTCTCTTAGATATAGGAGTAAATATTAATATATAGGGTAGTAAATATAGTAATACTCTTTAAGCTACTTTATATTAAAGCTATTATAAAATTATTAAATTTCTCTTAAATATAGAAGTAAATATTAATATATATAATAGTAAATATAATAATACTCTTTAGGCTATTTTATATAGAGGCTATTATAAAATTATTAAACTTCTCTTAAATATAAAAGTAAATATTAATATATAGAGTAGTAAATATAATAATACTCTTTAGGTTACCTCTAAGGGAGGCTATTATAAGATTATTAAACTTCTCTTAAATATAAGAGCTAATATTAATATATAGAGTAGTAAATATAGTAATACTCTTTAGACTACTTTATTTAGGGGCTATTATAAGATTATTTAACTTCTCTTAAATATAGGAGTAAATATTAATATATAAAGTAATAAATATAGTAGTACTCTTTAAGCTACCTTAGAGGGAGGCTATTATAAGATTATTAAACTTCTCTTAAATATAAGAGCTAATATTAATATATAGGGTAGTAAATATAGTAATACTCTCTAGACTACTTTATTTAGGGGCTATTATAAGATTATTTAACTTCTCTTAAATATAGGAGTAGATATTAATATAAAGAGCTATATATATAGTAATACTCTCTTAATTACCTTAGATAAAGGCTATTATAAAATTATTAAACTACTTTTAGATAGGGGAGTAAATATTAATATATAGGATAGTAGATATAGTAATACTCTTAAGGCTGCCTTATTTAAAGGCTACTATAAGATTATCTAACTATTTTAAATAAGGGGTACCATTATATCGCTATTCCTGCTCTAGGGCTCTAAGTAGCCTATTAAAGGAACTTCCGCCTTATTGACCCTGATCCTTCTAAGTAAACTTAACTATTCATTCTATAGCCTCTATAATCACATCCACCTACTTAAGCCACAGCCTATTTCTAAACATTATCAAGTAGGCTATAATTAGGCGCCTCCATCTTTGATTTACCTGAATTTACGAGCTCTTAAATTTACATTTCTAGCGCTTCTCCGGAGTGCAAATTCGGGCTCTAACTTATACATTATCCACTATTCTACACTATATAGAAACGTCCATTATTGGCCAATGTATAAGTACCTCGAAGTCTATTAAGTACTAAGCTGAGAACAAAGCTGCCCACAGTATAAGCACGATAACTCGATACCTCTAATGGGCGATAAGGTACATCTCAACCATTATGCAGGGGGGCCCTTGCTTACGTCCTCTTAAGTAATGCGATCCCAAAATGACTTGATCCCAAAATGCAGGACATTTTATATGCATATGTATAACAGCAGACTGTATACTGCAGATTACAGCATCACAATATGCTACTATGCTGAGGATTGAGTCTATTATGTAACTACGTAAATGGAAGGCAATAGAAGGTCATAGAAACTAGGCAGTTGGTTAGCTCATTATTACTGCTGACACAATTAGGAAACAGAAGCAGCGAGAAACATCTACTAAGTACCACCCTCATGATATGCTAATATGGATAAATCTATACATAATTAGTCAAGCGATAATGCAAGCAATTCTCGAACCTCTGGCTTTCTTTCTTCCAATGACGATAAGCATACGGCGGCGCCCTCCAGAAGCCGACTGAGACCTGCCGGAAGCGCCAAGGCCTCTTCCATTCAAAGAAGGCAATCATCAACAAAGAGAGCCTCTTAAGGTTTGTCCCGGAGAGATAACCCACGTATCGGAAGACACAAATCGACAGGGTGCTGAGGGATCAGCACTGCAAGAACAGAAGGCCGTCAAGGTTCCCTCGGAAGAGATACGTCGAACATTGAAAGAAATGGACCGCCAGCAAGCGGAACGCCGCCTTGCCCTTGCTATGCCTCGCCAACGAACTAACACAGAGAAGAAGGTCTCGGAGGAGGACCTCC